CTGAGCCATCACCCTGTCAAGTTCTGAAGTACTAGCTTCCAATAAGAGCGAGCATCCTTTTGGAGCAGCAACTGTAGGCCATGCACTGTGCCAGTGCTTCCTGTGTGGTAGCTCACTTACTATCACAAAAGTCTAAAAAGTAGGTGTATTATCCCAGCTTTACAAATGAGCTCAGGTCCACCTGATTCTAGTAGCCCAGGTCCTTAATCCCTATTCAGCTTTTTTTTTTTTAAGTGAGATACTGAAAGGAAATACTGAAGAAGTAGAAATATGCCCATTTCCTTCCCTCTGCAGGGCTCAGGGAAGGCAGTGAGCTGTCAGATAGGGCCCTCTGTGAGCTCCCAGCCCTGTCTGCTTTAGTTCCCAGCCCTGGGCATAGGGCCTGGCCCACAGTAGGCACTCAACAAATATTTGTGGAATGAGCTGCCTAAAATGGACAAAAGCTGGTTGAGGCTTAAAATCAGAGACCCGCCCTGGGTGGCTTTGGGGGACTGTAGGTGGCACGGACACACCCTGAGCCCCGTCTGCTTACAACACAGGCATCATCGCAACGAACTGCTCAGATCTCTGCCCAAGACAGAAGGCGCAGACCAAGGCAGAGCCGCCTCCCCGGCCCCCGCAGGTGGGTGCTGACCCCCTCATCCGTGGGAGGGTGAGATGTCATGGTTCCCGGCGAGAACGGATGGGAGTCACAGCCCCCTGGACACAGATAAAAGTTTTTGAGACCTGCTTGGCTTCTCATGTTAGAAGTTCAAAATAAACAATCTGCCACCATCCCTTGTAAGTTGTTACACTAATTTGGGATTTTCTGCCCCCAAGGGAGTTTACCTCCCCTTGTGACTTGTGCTTATGACCTGGATTACAGTCAGGGATAAACTGCGGGGTTCTGCTGGGCTGCTTTGGAAAACCTCAGCCTTTTCGAATACAAAAAGTGCCATTATAACCCTTAAATCGAGAGGCTAATACTTCAGAGCAGTGTTACTCAATGTTTTACTCAGAAGAGGAAACTTATTTTTAAGGAATTTAAAGTCAATTTGGATTATCCTTCTAATTTGTAGTCCTGAGTTTTACCCTGTTGTTAGCTGCCGGTGTTTGACAGAACCGTGTCAGCTGTGATTTCCGGGTGCCTCCCTTCTACACGCCAGCTCTGGTACCTGGGGTCAGATGCACAGCCCCTCATGCAGATACACAGGAGCACCAGCAATGGGAGGCAGGATGCGCGCGGGCAAGGAATCACTGGTCCCACTGGGCCGAAATTCTGGCCGGCTCATCTGCAGGGTTTCCTAAAGCAGCTCTCCCAACTTTGGTTAGTGGGACACTATTTCCAGATCAGAAGGGCTCTGGAATTTCACAGTTAAACAAACTTAAAGTGGCGTCTTTACTGCAAAACTTTTCAGAGCCTTTACTGTGTTCATGTGTACTGTGACTCTGTAAGAAAGGGGAACAGGTCTCAGGCATTCTTATCACTTTTTAATTACAGGACTCTTTTTAATGCATTGTTAGTATTTCTCAGAACTGGTGCTCCCCAGAACACAGACTGGGAAATGCTTTTCTAAAAGGGTTTGAAAAGAGGGGAAGGTATAGCTTGGTGGTAGAGTGCATGCTTAGCATGCATGAGGTCCTGCATTCAATCTCCTGTACCTCCATTAAATTATTATTTTTTATTATTATTATTATTTTATTATTGTTGTTGTTGTTGTTATTATTCTTTTAAAACAAAATAAAAAATGAAAAGGACTTGAATATCCCACCAGGCCCTAAAGGATATACTGAATGCTGGTCAAAGGATCACTCACTTGCAAAGCTGGTTAAAAACACTAATTCCCAGGCCACGCCCCAGACCTCCTTAGCAGAGAACGGGGCCTGGGAGTCTGCATGTTTAATAGGCAGTCCTGGGATTTGCTCTACCGCCAGTCTGGGGAGCGGTACTGGAGGAGGAACCTAAGGAAGTTACAGAGTGTCCTATATAATCAGTGCATGCAGTGTTTATTACACGCCTCTGGTCTCCCTGTCCGCCCTTCAGTTGTCTGCAATGGGCTCCTCCCTGCCTGTCCCCAGGTCATGAGTACAGCACAGTGTTCATGCTCAGTCTTTGCCTTCTGTCTGAATCACCTCTGGCTCTGCATCACACCTAAGAGGGTTCTAGAGATGCTGGCTGAGAACAGAGACAGCCTGCCCCAGCCCTGCCCTGAGCCGGGGACAGGCTGTGAATGGTGGTGAGTCCAGGCATGGATCAGGGAGACCGTCTGGAGGAGGAGACCCCTGCACCGCGGTGCAGACTCATCTGGGGTTGGGATGTTTGGGGCAGAGGGGCAGCTGAGTGAGGCACACAGGGGCTGGGCATTCCGTGCCAGTGGGGAAATGCTGGAGCCTCCAGAGGGAGTGGAGCAGAAAGGAGCTGGCAGCCAGTGAAGTGGGAGGAATGCCGCTCTGTTGCTCCCAGCTTTTTACACCTCACCTCTCTGCAGATGCTTCCAGAATCCCTGCCTCTTGTCCTGGCCTGCCCCTCATCCCCCTTCCCTTCTTGGCTCCTCTATTGAAAACCTGTCTGTCCTGTGAGGCCCAGTTTGGAACCCACCTTCCCCATAAAACCAGCCCCTCCCTCCGCCAAAGCTCACCCCACATTCTTTTTAGATTTCTTTTTCCAGGGGCTACTAGCCTGCTCTACTTGGCCCTGTGATGTTAGGGGTTTATTCCTTACCCCCTTTCTCTCCGTTCAAACCCTAAATCCCACTCGTCTTGCCCTCATCCGAAGTAACTGTTAAAAACGGAAGTTTTAGAAAGTGGGCTTTTCAATTTACCAAAATACATCAGGGGTTTTAAAAATGTTTGCACCCTTTGCTTGAGAAATTCCCCTTCTAGGAATCTGGCTGAGGAGGTAATTAGAAATTGGGACAAAGATTTATGCAGAAAGATATTTATCACAGCCAATTTTATAATGGCAGATAAAAGCATCCTCAGTGTTTAAATATAAGGAAATGTGTAAGTAAGTTATATTGTATATATCTGATGAAGAATCTACAGAAAAAGGTTTTCATGATAGGGAGAACACTTAGGAGGTAAGTGGAAAACAATCAGTATACAATTACTGTGTAATCTCAAGTACATAAAAAATGTGTAAATATACTTTCATATCTATTTGCATGTCTAAATAGAAAAGACTAAAGAAATACACTAAAATATTGAGTTTTTTGTAGAAAGCAGAACTGTTGTTATTTTCCACTTTAAATACGTAAATATTTTCCATACATTCCATAATTGACACAGATTTTGTTTGTAGTCAGAAAAAAAAAAAACTAGAGCAACTAAGAAAAGGAAGGTGGAGTTTTTCTCACTGTAAGTTTGGCATTTGACGAGGTTGCTTGTATGTTCCTAGTGACATCTTCCTAAGGGCCATTTTGTGTGCTGTGTGTTTTGCTGCCTGCTATCCTACTCTGGGACTGCAAACTACCAGCTGAGCTTGGCATTTTGGGCTGCCAGAGCCCGGCTTTGCCCATCACTCCTGTGATCTGCAGTCCTCCTTGGACTCACCCAGAGGCACGTGGACTGCTGTGTGCTGGGCCACTTGGGCATCACACTGTGGGATGGATGATGGCTCAGTCCTTTCACACCCTGACTCTGTCTCCTGTGAAGGTGGTCCCTGCCTTGGCTGATGGGGCCAAGCAACCTTCAGAAGATTCTCCTCTCATACAACCAGAGCAAACACTCCACCAGTTTCCAGGTGGCCTTGTGTGGTTAATTTGGGTGCCGCCCTTCAGATTTGTCAATGCCTGGCTTCATCTCGGGTGTCCCGTGTGGACCCAGAAGTCCCACACTCCACACACCACTCTCCGTGCCTGTGTTCATCTCCTGCTCGAAGTGGGAAATTTCCATTGCATTCTCTCCATCACTCAGCTCCCATAACTTCCAAAGGAGGCTTTATCATCCCCACCTAACAGGTCCATCAGCCGTAACTATCCCAGGGCCCTAGGGCTGACTGACCTCAGGGTTGGTGCTCTTTGATGGCAAAGAGTTGGGACAGCTGGACATTCAAAGGGAAAGGTCCTGATGGCCCTTCTCCACTTCCTATGTTAATCTCCGCTTCATCTGCTTTCTAAAGCCCGCAGCTATTCAAAGACAGAGCACACTGTCCTAAAACACCCACGGACATCTATTTATGTCACTGTATCACCATTAGGGCAAATGCAATTGGCAGCCTTTATTCAAAACCTCAGAGTTACAGTCTTTGGACTTGGACAGTCAGAGTCACTCGGTTTGCAGATTTGATAGCAGTGATGTGGATGGATCTGAAAGGGAGATGTACGTGCCTCTGGAGGGCCTGATGACAGGACTGCGCAGAGCTGGGGTCTGAGACACGTGCTGCATCGATCCAGCCCCACAGACATGCCTTTGACTTGGGGGAAGGGGGAAGGGGTGGGTACTTATCCCTTCCGAGAAAGGGCTCAGAGTGAATCATTTGTAATGAATCAAACAGTATCTAATATTGAAGCAAACTTGTGGAAGTCATCCCCACAAAAATCCACCAGGAGAAAAGGAACTTTTGACCTGTGGGAACAGGGGGTTGTGCCCCAGGCTCCAGGAGACCCTGGAATTCAGTGCACAGCACTTAACCTCCCCCATAGAAAGACCACAGAACTACTCAGTTGTTTGAAAGGTCTAATGCTGGTCTCTTGCTATATTACAATGGTCAAATAAATAAGAAATTAAAGTAAAACCTCGCAGATGCAGAACAGCTCAAATCCCCATACATGTGGGAAGCATGGGACCAGCCCAAATCAGTGAAAAGTCTTAAGTTACTGAATAATTTTTAAATGCAGTTTTACTGATATTAAAAGGCTGGGCACTGAGGAGACACTCCGCTGAGTGTTGAATGGATTGCTGAAAAAGTAGTTAAATAGGTGGGTGGATGGCAGTTAACACATAGCACACTAACTTTGTTCCAAGCACTGTTCTAAGTACTTTACATTTATAAGCTCATTCAATTCGAAAATAATCCTATGAGATAAGTACTGTGAATATCTTCATTTTAAACTTGAGGTTACCCGGCTGTCAGCTGGTAGAGCCAGGGTTTGAATCCAAGGAGTCTGGCTCTTGAGTTTTAGTTCTTCACCATGGAGAATTCGTGAGTAAATGTTTGAATATCACTTTATTATACCAATATTATGCTGCTCAGGAGTTTGAAGTGTGTTTCTGTAATTACATCTGCTGCTTTAAAAATGAGTAAACAGGTCCAGTGCCACCATTTTACAGATGGGGAGACTGAGGCCCAGAGGAGGAAGGATCTCAGCTCCAGCCCCCCTCCTGTGCTGGATGGAGGCTGGAACTCCGACCTCTCCGTGACACCCCCAGCTTCTCACTTTCCAGTCCACCACTGGCCTGATGCTCCTTTGTAAACTCATCCCTCTGGTCCACGTCCAGATTCCTTGGAAGGTTCTGCAGTAGGTTTCCCTCTGCAGCTGGTATCCCTGAAGCCCCTCCCAGCTGAGGTTTCACAGTGACTGAGAGATGCCAGTGCTCTGGGAGCCCAGCCTTTGCCATTCCCTGAAGCTAGCACTGGCTTCCAAAAGGACCAGAGAGCCTGCTTGCTTACTTCTATCGTGGACTCGGTTTTTCCTTTTCGGAGCAGCCCATTTAAAGGGGACAAGAACAGGATCGGACTGGGGAAATCCAGGCAGGGGTGGCGCGTGTCCAATTCCTGCCAGTGGGTGGCGGCAGAGCCCAGAAATTTCAACTGCCCCAGCTGGAGTCTTGGCTGCCTGGATTTGAATCCTGACTTTGCCTAAATGCGTGACCTCATGCAAGTCACTTGCCTTCTCTATGCCTTGGTCTCCCCCTCCGCAAAATGGGCACAACAATAACACCTACCTCATGAAATTGTTCTGAGGCTCCAATGAGATTACACACAGAGTGCTTAGCAATAGTGCGCAGAGTAAGCAACCAATAAAAGCTCTTCTTTTAACATCACTCTCATCATCCTCTGTTAGAACAAAGCCAGAGGCTTATCCACATTGATCAGTTGTTCTAGAGCTTTGTTTTATTGAAAACAGATGAAAAGGTCGCCAGCTGGGCTCTCAGAGACCTTTTAGCTACCCAAAGATCCTTTATAATTAACCTTTATGATGAGATTTTCCTTATGAAAGTACCACGTGTTAGGGCTGAAATAGATTTTGAGAAAGGCAGTGTGGGTTGGAGCTTATTAGTCTCAGGGATTTAAAAACTTCATCTTCTATCACAAGACAGGGTTTTGGGTATAGCACAGCCCCCTTTGGGCCACTCTGCCGTGGGGTCCAGCGACCACAGACAGACTTGTGGTATAACCCTGAAAAAAAAAATCCATTTTGTATTACTTGCCACTTTGCCAATATTAAACAAACGATGTATTGAGATGTATTGATTAAAGTATTACTTCTACCTGTATGTCCCTAAAGTAGCTTCAGATTCATTTATATGCTTTTTCTTTTGAAGTCATGAACAAGGAGACATTGAGTTCCCAATACATCCCAAGAAAAGCAGTTAGTGAATTTTTCAAACAGAATATGATGTTATCTTTCCAGGCCCTGAGTCCTCTGTAATTTTCTTGGGATCCACCCTTGTTTTTCCAGCTGTGCCTGAGCTGAAGCTCCTGTGCGGGGCAGATGTGCTGAAGACCTTCCAGACCCCCAACCTCTGGAAAGATGCACACATCCAGGAGATAGTGGAGAAGTTCGGCTTGGTGTGTGTGGACCGGGTAGGGCATGACCCAAAGGGGTACATCTTGGGCTCGCCCATCCTGCAGAAGTACCAGGACAACATCCACCTGGCCAGGGAGCCTGTGCAGAACGAGATCAGCGCCACGTACATCAGGAGGGCCCTGGCCCAAGGGCAGAGCGTGAAGTACCTGCTCCCAGACGCCGTCATCTCCTACATCAAGGAGCACGGCCTCTACACCAGGGACACCAGCACGGAGAGGAATGAAGATTAGATGGGCTGGACCAGCCCTTCCTCCCCCACCGAGCTCCTCCTGAGGACAGCCGGCTAAGGTCTTGGTTTTTGTTCATTTTTCCATTTTTCATTTGGTCTGTTTCAACAGCAGTTTTGCTTCTGAGGAGTCTTCTGTGCCAGGAAGAGATACCTTCTTTTGGGAGGAGCAAACGTCTATATCACAAGGAGGGACATTTATCATAGACGTTAAAATGGTGTGGCAGGTCACTGGGGTTAGGCAAGAGCTCTCAGAACCTCTGGTTGAAGAGATCTTATTTTGTAAATGGTAGTTTTGGCTGCGCACTGAAGGTTCTGCACGTGACAGGGACCACTGAGGGTCAGATCGGAATTGCCCACAATGTGTTTTTCTAACCAGGACCAGGTGCAGCTTGCCGGTCTTGATTGGAGAGGCTTGACAGGATGCTAATTACCAAACAGTGGGCTTTGTCAATGCATTGCTTCAACAGAATAACACTCTGTCAAGGTGTCAAGAATTTGGAAGCGGCACTTTGCTGATTTACATTGAATCTTCCCTTACAAACCACTGTCTGCCTGCCTACTGGCCATCGATAGAATTTAAACTTAAGTCTTTCTAAGTAGTGATACTCAAACAATATTTTTGATACAGTATATATATTTTTTTCTAATACAGCTAATCTATGAATGCTAGCACTCCCGATTTCCAGGTTTGTAAAAAGGAACTGAGGTAAAACAGAGGCCTTGACTATTTTAGAGGATCTTCTTGAATGTTTTATGACTGCCTGCCTGTTTGAATATTGGCAGAGGGATAAATAATAAATTGACATCAAAAAGTGCTAATGAAAAGTTTCTCTTTTTTCTTTCTTTGTTATATTATTCATGCCTGATGTACCAGCTGTTGCTCTTCTTTTTGGCTATTCCATGAAATTTGCTAATGTTCCAATCGAACTGGCATGAATTTAAAAGTTTCTGTTCCCGAGGATGAGCAGTGGAGGGAAGACACTGCTTTCAACACCACGCAGACAGTGCTCTGAGCTCTGGGTCGATGGCTGTGTTCAGGTGAGCCCTGAAAGATACAAACAGGAACCTTGTGTGTGTTCAGGATTTGTCTTTCCACCCCCAATTAGGAGGAGGTGGTTTTGATTGGCCGAATTCAGTTTGAGTTTACTCTTTCTACTTCCTGACCAAACGACTGAACGCATTCAGAATTGACTTCTCCAGGATTTTACGCTGGTTCATCCTTGCTACAAATGTAATCATGCAGAAACACAAAGGGTCGGTGGGAAGAATCTAGTATCTTCCGAAATATATCCCAGTGTTGGTGGGTGTGTCATGATGCACATGAGTGAAGCAGGAAATCATCAGGATTTCCTGCATCCAGAGTAGTGGGACCCTCCGGTGAGGGTCCCCAGACTTCCGCCCCTGCAACCTTTGAAGCTGCTGGCCATTCCCCACCCTAATGAGCTCTGCCCTTAAGAGCTCCTTAAGGACCCTGATGATTCAGGGGAATAGGGATCAAATGGCCTTGTCCAGGAGCTGCCACAGCAAGTTGACTGCCTCCCTTCCCCACCATGAGCCTTAGTTTCCCAGTCTCTAAAATGGGGAGGTTTAATTAGACAGCCTCTAAATTCTCTTCCATTTTTCTAAGACTCTGAGTGCCTCTGACTTCAGCCTCTCCACCCTTCTTTGGGTCCAGTACACTTCTGATCAGACTGGAAGCTCCCCAAGGGCAGGGGTCTCTGTTCTGGAGGGTTATTTGGGGGGGGTGGGGTGGAGGGGGCCTTTTTTTTTTTTTTTTTTGGCTGCTGTATCCTAAGTGACAAGAAATTTGCTACTCCAAGTGTGGTTCCAGGCCCAGTGTCTGTCTGCCCTGGGAGCTGGTTAGAAATGCAGGCTCTCAGGCCCCACCCCAGACCTACTGACTAAGAATCTGCGTTTGAATCAGCTTCCCCCACCATTCAGTGCACTTGCCTAGAATAGTCCCTGTTATGATAACTATTAGTTTTGTTTTGAATAAACTGTATGAGTGAAATTGCATCACATTTACTTTGGTGAATAGCTTCCTCCTTACTGTCTGAGCAACGCTGCCCACCTGTTCTGTGTGGGGTATAGAAGGCAAAGGAGGAAAAAAAACCAAAAAACAGCAAATAGCTGTAGTGCCCAGAAGAAGTAAGAGAGGGAGCCTGTGGGTTTGAGGCAAGGCTTCTCCCCTTGGGCACTACTGACATCCGTGCCAGACAGTTCTTTGCTGTGAGGGCTTGTCCTGTGCATTCCAGGTGCTTAGCAGTATCCCTGGCCTTGATTTATTGGATGGTAATCTAACCATTAGATGGCCCCTTGTAACAACAGAATGCCCCCAGCCATTGCCAGATGTCCCCTGGGCACAAAATAATCACCTTGGTCCGAGACCCATTGGTTTAAGAGTATGGCTGGGAGGTGGGGGGGTGGTAGGTATGTATATGAGGAGGGATCTCAGCTTCCCAAGAGGGGAAATTAGGAAACAGAAGCTTAGAATCTTATGAAGGTCTAGTCTAGGGGTGGGGAGATGCCCACCACTCACGAAGTTATTCTGAGGGACACAGTGCTGTTGACAGTAGGAACTAGAAGCCACGTCCTTAACTCAGAGGCACCCTCCCCTCAGTTTCAATCTCCCTTTGCCTCCCAGAGCCCATACTGGTTTTCTCTTCCATGTTTTACAGGCTGAAGCTTCCAATGTAGCCCGCACCCTCAGTGCTGACGTTCAGGGCCCGGCCAGCAGAGACCCCCAGTGAGTGGGAGCTAGCAGTTCTATGATTCTAATTATGATTCAAAGTTCAGGATTCATTTATTCAAATCCTATTTCTTGAGGACCTCTCCTGTGCCAGGCACTAAACACTTGGAGAGCGATAGTGAGCAGGATGGACACAGTATCTCCCCTCCAGAAGCTTCCAGGCCAGATAGGAATGGAATAATATTCACGCAACTAAACAGGATTTCTAACTGGGACGAGGGCTCTGAGGGCAAGTACACCACACACTGACAGCCAGAAGCAGCCTGTTCGCTGTGAAGTAAGGAAGCTTTAAGCTCCAGCGCCTCGCTGGCCAGGCCCTTTCCAACACACTGGAGGGACCTTAATTATGTAGATCTTTCATTTCACACTCATAATTTTTATTCTTTTTCTGGAAAGGGGCCTTCAAGATTGTACAAAGTTTAGGTCTTATAAAATATCAGGGATTCACCCTGATGACAGAATGCAGATGGGGGAAGAGAGGATAGATTTGAGACCTGAAAGATGAGTTCACAAGACTTGGGGATGAGGGGAGGCCAACTGACTTTTGGGCAGAATGAACAGTACGTACAAAGGCCCTGTGGCAGGAGAGGGCAAAATGAACAACATGATGAGCTAGATTCATCATTACCTCCTGAAGAAGGGGTTGCTTATGATGCTGTGCACCTCACACCAGGCATCTTTGCTTGCCACCATCTGTCTCCCTGTCCTGCCTTTCTGTAGGCTCAGGGCACCGGCCCAACCAGGATAGAGGAGATGCCTTCATCTCTCTGATTCATGTCTGTATCTTGGGGCTCCCACCAGGCAAAACATTTATTTCTTAGCCTTTACATACATTGCCCCTGAAATAAAACAATCCAACAAAACCTACTATATATATATACACACATACACACACACACACTATATGTAAATTTCCATACTCTCACTCTGTCTCATTGATTCATGCCACCTCCCTTTTTTAGTATCAGAAGAGAAAATGTGTATCACTGCTGTGCTCTTGATTTATTGCATTGACATTGACCTGCACACCTGATTTCATATTCTTCTCCATTCCACAGGGCCTCCTCTGCATCTCGTTTGCCAGGGTGTTTTGTTTATTTTGCAAGAACAGATAAAACAGTGATTTGGGCTCCTGGGTAAATAGAATTTCCAACCTTAAATAAAGGTTTTCCTATGATAGCACATGCTGTCCAAATGAGCAGAGCTCTGTATCCCAGCCTGAGGAGAGGATTTTTCATTTATAATACTGTCTGTGTCACTTGGGACAGAATGATGTGAAATCCCATTTTAAACAGCGCTCCAGCATGCAAGGTACCTGTGGTAATGGGGTTAATACATGAATGTGAATTTCTTCTCCCCACCCGCCCACTTTCTATGCTAACAGTGCGTTTGCTTTTTGCAAGGGTCTTCTTGCATCCATGGCGTTCCCTTTCAGTCATGAAGTTATTTTCTTGGACCAAAACTCAGGATTTTAGATACATGTGTGTGTGACTATGAATCCATAATAATGCACCTAGGCACACACCTCAGAATATTTTAGAATTGTTCAAATAATCCCCAAAAGGTTTGTACATGACACTAGAAGGGACCCTAAAGTTTATCTGGCCCACCTTTTCCAAATTATCAGAACACTAAAATCCCACCAAGTCATGGGAGTATCACTATTACTAATAATAATGATGTCTTGTGGACAAGTCTTTCTCCTGTAGGAAACGCATAATGAGTGTTTCCATGCCTTGGCAGTCTTACTTTCTGTACATCCCTCCTATGCAGCCTCTTTTCTCCATCCCTCCTGTCACCTCCCAATCCAGACTACCATCATCTATTATCTGGACCACTGCGATGGCCTCCCCAAGTCACTGCTGGCCCCTGAAATCCATTCTCCGAGTCAAAGTCAGAAGAGGCGTGTGCACAAATCTGGGCATATCCCTCCCTTGCCCAAACGTCTTCCAAGGGATGCCACTAAGAAAATGGAAGACACAGACTTGAAGAACACATTTGCAAAATGTATTTCTAATAAACGACTTGTGTCCAGAAGATATAAAGAACTCTAACAATTAAAATGAGAAGAATATGCTGCAGCCATTATGGAAAACAGTATGGAGATTCCTTAAAAAACTAAAAATAGACTTACCCTGTAATCCAGCAATCCCACTCCTGGAAATCCCACATGTCTGGAAAACTAACTTGAAAAGACACATACACCCAATGTTCATAGCAGCACTATTTACAGTAGCCAAGACATGGGAGCAACCTAAATGTCCATCAGCAGATGACTGGGTAAAGAAGACGTGGTATATTTATACAGTGGAATACTACTCAGCCATAGGAAAGAATGAAATAACGCCATTTGCTGCAACGTGGATGGACCTAGACATTATCATACTAAGTGAAAGCAAAAGAAAAACTTACGGCTACCAGGAAAGGGGAGTTGGGAGGGATAAAATGGGAGTGTGGGATTTGCAGATACACACTACTATATATAAAGTAGATAAACAACAAAGACCTACTGTAGAGCACA